TAAAAAAAAAAAAAAAAAAAAAAATCGTCGTCCTTTATAGATAGATAAGAACCTAATAATTTGTGATAGATAATAATAATATTTTTAGAACGTACTCTTTGATATATATACAGCAGTATTTCGGATCGGATTAAGTTGATATGCAAATGTCTTCTTACAGAAAAAGGAAATCGAAAATAAACTCTGTGGGTGGAAAAAATACTAAACCGGGAAGTTACACCAATGAAGTAAGAAATACTGTATATATAAGTGAAATTTTAATTTCATATTTTTATCATTAATAAATTAAAATTAATACAGGAAGATGCTTTAATTATCAAATTATATGATCAATATATGGGTGAAACAAATAAGTGGAAGATAATTGCCGTTAAATTATATCGTGGACATAAGAGTATTCGTGAGCGGTAAGTTTATCAAATTATATGTAAATACGGTTATATCATATTCGATAGTTTGTATATAATGCTGGCCAAGATTCATCATAGTTGCCGATCAAGAACTACCTTCGCCCGTGTTGCATACATTTTTTCATTCCCTTTTTTTTTACTTACCTCTATTTTGTATATTATTACATTTAGGTACGTTAATCATCTGGATCCAACTAGTTCGTATATTTTAATTAGATTATTGTTTTGCTCATTTTTACGTGAAAATCCCGTTAATTATATATAATTTTCATTTAGTTGATCGTTCTGACTTCACGAATGAAGAAAAAAATGAGATTAACAACCTTCAAAATAATCCAGAGTATTTTAGAAAGTGGGCAGAAATAGCAAAGAGAATATCAGTAAATAGGAAACAAGGGAGAAGAACAGAATTACAAGTCAAAAATTATTGGAATAGTAAAGATCGAACTCAAAAACGTAAAAATAAAAGAAGTTATGAACGTATTCATAACATTATGAATATAAATCATATCGTGAATTAAATTTATTATACATATAAAAATTATCATCATCAAAGATTGAAAAGTTAATTTCTTCTATAAACATATCTAGAATATACTGTACTGTACATCATCATTAAAAGGATTATTTAGACGAATATAAATAAAAATATAAAATTTATAATATAATCTTAAAATTTTAATGGTAAAATGTTATATGATTTTAACGTTGAATGCACAAATAATTTTATAACCGGATTAAACACAGCATCAGTTACCGTACCGCACAACCGTACAACCGTACTATGACAATGAAAAATGGATTATTAAGATGGTGATCATCGGTTAAAACGGTTAACGATAATCCGTTCCAATCAATCAATCACTAAACGTCAAATAGTTCTTCCTGTTTAAGAAATTTTATAATAATCTACGTCGCACCAAGTGTCATTCATGACTTTTATAATCTACATTCATAATTATATTGTGTCCGAAAACTTTTGTTTATTTATTTCTCGGTTTCTTTGTCTAGAAAACTCCAATTCAATAAGCATTTTTAAAATGTTTGCATTTAATGTGCATAATAACATTACTACTCCTGTCATAAGAACACTAATTTTTATAAGAAATAAAAACATTAAATAATTTTTACGTAATTATAATTCATTTATTATTTTCATGAAGAATAGTACCGAAATTTAGACAGGAATTTCTGCTGTTATTCCTATCCCCAAATAATTCTAATTTTTTTTTATTTGCAAAATTTAATTATTAGTTTCGCTTATTTTATCAGTGAAAAGCAATTTCAATATACAGTATACGGTATACGAGTAGTTTCTGAGGAAAAATATTTATTTACCATTGTATGTTTCATTTGTGTAATTATAAGATAAACCAATTAAATGTTGAGAATTTTTTGTACAATCAAAGACTAATTTTAGAAATATAGGGGTTTGTTTATCTTATAATACTTGTAGTACCTAAATTCCTTTAACAGTTTTTTTTTTCATATTGTGAAAATAAGGCTAATATTACGTTATATAACTTTATTTGAATTTAAATATTTCAAAGTGTCACCTTTCAGAAAAAAGGATTCTCATTCTATCTTTTTCAAAAAAAGATAATGATGATGGTGAAATTAGGAGCGTTGCTTTCACCAAGGAAGGTACGAATTACATTAGTGGATATTTTATTACCTTTTCTTTTTTAATATTAAATAAATTATATAGAAGGATCATTTAATAATCAATTTATATGTTATTCATTTGAATGAATTATTAAATGGAAAATAAATTAAAATGAGATCACAGACGGCGGAAGTATTCATGACGGTAGGTTATTACAAAAATAATATTATATCAAAAATAATATTTTACTTATTGCTGAATTTTTTATTCATTCTAAATATATTATCCAACTAGTTTGCATTTTTTTTTCTAATTAATTACTTTTTTTTATTCGTTAATTGTTTATTATTGATTTATTAAATTTCTTTTATAGTTGATAAATCTAAACTAACAATTTAAGAAAAAATAGCAATTGATGAATTTAATTCTAGTTATTTCTAAGAAACGGGCAGATATAGCCAAGAAGTATAATTAAATAGGAAAGAGGAAAGAAGAACGGAAACTCAAGTTAAAAATTATTGTATTGTAAAAGATAGCAACAAAAGAAAAAAAAATTATGAAACATATTAATATTATAAGAAATCTCTTGAATTAAATTTGACATTTATAAAATAGTTCATTTAAAAAAATTTTTTTTCGAATCAATTATATCGCTTATTAGAACAGAATATAAAATCAGGTGCAGACAAAACTTTACCTAATAGTTGTACCATTTTTTTCAGTCATAATTTCAGTCAGTATCTAAAAAAGGTGATAAATTTTCAACCCGCATTATCTGAAAAGGAAAGATTTACATGATTTCTTTTCTTTTCGTATTGTATATATTTGATATTTCAGGGACCTCTTAAACTACAAATTTAGTATTTTTGTACCATATTATTCGTGTCCAATTTAACTGCTCTGGATAGATAATCTCAATTAGATAAATAAATAATACCGGTAGGTTGATAAAAATTATCTTGTTGGACCAATTATAAAAAAATTTGTTTTTAGCCGTTTAAAATCGCTATATACCGTAAAAAAAAAAAAATATTTATTTGTTAACATCATCACTTATTTTGATATTTAATAAAATATAAGTCTCATTTTCAAAAAGAAATTACTGAAAAAAAAAATATTGGATTTTAATTAAATATAAAAAACAATTAAAAGTGTACGTGTTTCCTGTCACACTAACTAGGATTTTAATTCTGTCCGATATGATTATATACAAATAGAAAAATTACTTTTTTTTTAATATAATATAATTACTATTTACTAATAACAAAAACTCTATCTTTTCGATCGTTTAACCAAAAATTTTATGATCAAAAAAATAACAAAAATTCATACAAAAATTTATTATTTTGAGTCTCTCTTTATTAAAACCAAAGTTTTGTCATTTTTTCTCATTGTAGGTTATATATATTTTTTGAATTTTCCTTTTTTTGGAAAATAGAAAAATGTCGACTAAAGATGTTTTACACAAAAAGTCAAAAAGTTGAAATATTTTGGAAAAACAATAAAAAAGCCCAAGCTTTTTTTTTTAAATAAAAGTTCAACAAGAGTGTTAAATGTCAGTGCGATAAATTAAGGTTGGTCGCCGTAAGTAATAATTATGGCATTTCAGATTACGATTTGGACTTCTACCCTTAGGTTGACGTGCCGTATTGAAATTATGCTTAATTTCAGCCAAGTTCATAATGCCAGTTTAATTTTCGCATTATATCATGTGATGTTATCTGAATTCCAATAAAATCGTGAAACGTCTGAAACGAGTTACCCTAAGGTTACACATCAATTTCCAAAATGGAAATTTAATTGTCAATCACTTAGTATTATTCAAGTCACATGACACATTATTTATGACACAAAAGTTGCAACTTTACGGCAAATATGTTACAACTATTACGGTAACCATTGCTAACAATAATGCTTTTTATGTGGTAATGATGATGGTTATATAACCTTAAAGTTTTGATGAGGAGAAATTTTCAATCTTTGGAGACGGCTGCGGGTGGAGAGCGACCATAAATAAGAATGTTGTGAATGTTGTGATGATTGATTAAATAGATAGTGGAACGGTAACAGATGTTGTGCGCTCCACCTTGCAGATCCTTAGATTAAGAATGATAAGAACGAAAAAATAATTTAATATTCTGAAAAAATTCTATTGTCAAATAGGAAGATTTTGATTTGTAACTGAGGAACTTTTTCTGGATGTATGGTAATACTTATAGTTTTTAAAATTATAAAACAAAAACATTGGGAATTTTATATTAGTATGTAATGTATGTAGTGCTTTATTATTCATTTTTTTAGTCTACATTGTTGAAAAGTGTAGCATTTGTATATCTTAATGAACTTCAATAAAGGGAGAAATTAAAAAAAAAATGATTTTAAACTATCATTCATATAATGACAATCTCTTTTTTTTTCTTTTGTACACGTACATTGATTTGCATAAATTTAGGTAGTACAATGTTGCTTTATGTACTGTAACATTCACTTTGGTTACATATTACTTTTTTAATATGTATAACTATGGAGTTGAAACACTGGTTCAACCTTTCTTTCTTACTTACTTTCTTTTTTTTATTTAAAAAAAATTAATAATATATTTATAAAAAAAAATTTAAAGTCTTATAACATATTTCATTATGTCATATAGTAAAAATAAATCAATTAATAATGCACTTAAGAGATCATATGCATTAATGGATTCAAATGTTCGTAATAGTGCACACAAAAGTCATGAATTTAGAAAACAAACAATTCTTAATGATGAATCACTTACGGAAAATGAAAAATCTGAAGCAATAAAAATACTAACTAAAACTTATGATCATAACAAATTTATTTCAAATAAAGGAACAAGAAGAATTTGTGAAAATTGTAACCAAGAATGTTTAGCTACAACATATTGTGAATATTGTGTTCGAAATTATTTAATAGTAAAATTTTCAAATTGGACATCTGGAAATAATGATATTGATAATTTAATACAAGAATGTCAAATGAAAACAGTTGCTCCAGATTTAATACCAGAATGGATTCCATATAATAGTCTTAAAAATATTAAATATCTAACAAAAGGTGGATTTTCAGAAATTTATACAGCAACATGGATTAATGGAAGATATGATGAATGGGATTCTATAAAACAACAATTAAAAAGATTTGAAAAACAAAAAGTTGTACTTAAAAAATTAGAAAATGTTGAAAATGCAAGTCAAAGTTGGTTTGAAGAGGTTTGAATTTAAAATATTTTAAATTTCATTAATAATATATATCTTAAATTTTAATTATATTTTTAATTTATAGGCTAAATCACATTTAAAAATAAGCAATAAATGGAGTAATATTGTCCAATGTTTTGGATTAACACAAGATCCATCAAATGGAAATTATATGCTTGTAATGAATAAATGTAATATGGATTTAAGAAAATATTTACAACAAAATCATAATCAACTTACATGGAAGGAAAGAATTCAAATTATTACTAGTATAACTATTGCACTTAGAAGGATTCATTATGAAAATGCAATTCATAGAGATTTGCATTCCGGAAATATATTATTTAAAACAAAATTTTCTATTAGTGATCTTGGATTTTGTGGACCAGCAGATAAACCATTAAAAAGTATATATGGAAACCTTCCTTATATAGCACCTGAGGTTATTATTGGAAAAGAACAATCTTTTAAATCTGATGTTTATAGTATTGCAATGCTTATGTGGGAAGTTTCGTCAGGAGAACCACCATTTAATAATTACGAACATGATTATGATCTTGCAATGAATATTGTTAATGGTATAAGACCAAAAATTGTACCAGGAACTCCTTTAGAATATAAAAATTTAATGAAACAATGTTGGGATGCTGATCCATCAAAAAGACCTGATATTCGTACACTTCGGGATAAAATAATGGAAATTAATTTATTTTATCAAAGAACAAATGAATCATTAACTCAACCAGAAGAAAATAATAATTTTGAAATGAAAAATTGTACTAGCAGTAGCAAACTATTTACAAGTAGACTTCATCAATTTGACAATCTTCATGAACCAAGAAATGCGACAGAAGGTATTTATTGATATATTAACATTTTTGTTAGTTGCTTAAAAGGTATATTTAATTAATAATGTTTATTTTTTTATTTAAATAATAATAGAAGAACAAGAAGGTACAAATTAGATAAAATATATAATTTTAATTTATAAAAATTAAGGGTAATATGTTAATTTTTTTATAGCATTTCATAGTAATAAATCATATGATTTTTATATTCCAAATAATAGTAAGTGCAATTGCATTTATATGTCTTATATTATATAATGAAGTGTTATTGACTCATATTGCTTTTTTTTTAGTTGATGATTTTAATAAATCAAATAGTAAGAAAAATAGTACTTCAAAAATGAGTACCATATTTAAAGGTAATTAAATATTTTATTTTGAAATAAGCAAATGAATGAGTAACTTATATTTAAATTAATTAGTTGGCAGTAAAAAGTTATCCAATATATTTAAAAGAAGTTCAAAAAATGGCAAGTAAAGTGATTAAGAGTATGTCAATTTTATTATAATTTTTTAATATAAATATGATATAATTTTTTTTAGATATTCAAAGTAATTATAAGATTGAAACAATGCAACAGCAAACAATGAATCATCATATTAAAGATAATGGTATGTAAATAATTTTTATAATAATTACTTTATAGTATTTTTTTTCGTTGATTTTTAATTTAATACATTATATATTTGATAGACGAAGATGAGATGTATAGCAATCCAAATCTTCATTCCGAAGAACAAGATGAATTGGAACTTCCTGAAAGTAAGAATTATTTTTAAAATGTTTAAAATTTATCTCTTAAATTACCAAATATATATATAGTATAATTTAACGTAATATATTTTCTTTATTTTAGATGTTTAGAAGAATTATATAAACTGAATTAGATAACATTATTATACCTGATTTTGTTACTTAGCATAAATTATTTAAACACTATGACTTGGTTAAATTTTCTACAAGATTCTTATTTTGTAATTTGAATAATTTATTTTTTTTATTTTTTATTTGTTTTTTATCTTTGTATTATTTATATTAGTAAAATATTCTTTTTGTGTAAACTGAGCATATATTTATTAAATAAATTTATAGTATATTTTTAAATGTAAAATTTTATAGCATGGCCATATTATTCACACAAGAAAATATTAAATATAAATAGCTAACTACAGTGATCGTTAATAAATTTCTTTGCCGGAATTGTCAGAATTATCATAATTTTGGATCCAAATCGCATGATATACTACTATGTATCCATCACAGCCGCATTTCGGTAATCTAACTAACCAATAAATTTATTTAAATTTAAAAGGAAAAGGGTTTAAATTAAATTAAATTATATATATTATATTATAATTTTTTTTATAAATAATTAATTTATGAGTATTGCTAATTTTAACTGGGGGGATAATTCCTCCCCCCCTAAAAATTTAAAAAAAATAAACTTTTTTTATGAAATATATAAAATAAATATAATTGGATATTAATTGCATAAAAATTTGGCAATTCTTGGTTTTAAAAAGAATTTTTACCATGAAAAATACAATTTAACTATAAAAATCAAAATTATGTATTTTTCTCAAAACCATCTGAACAACTACCTTTTTTAACTTAATAAAACCTTTTCTTCTCATAAATTTACATATAATCTTATTCTTAGATTACTATGCAAGTCAATATTTTAGTTAAAAATTGAAATAAAGGGAGAGGGGAGGAAAATTCCCCTAGGTTAAGTTTAGTAATTCTCTTAATTTATAATAAAATTTTTACTTCAAATCGGGCGTCCTTAACGTACAGTAAAGGTGTACAATATTAACGCACAAACTGCCCCAAGTTTAGGAGTTATTCACTTGCACGTGATAGCGTTAACGTTAACTCCGGCCAGTTCGTACATTAATATCGTACACCCCCACTGTACATTTAAGGAATCCCCTTCAAATCATTGGGGGGTGATGGCCAGAATTGTCAATTTTTACCGGCACTATATTTTTTTAATGCTGGTCGATCGTCATAATTTCAGTCACCGGTGATCATCATCCCCGGTGATAGTTAGAAAAATTCTTATTTGAAATGATAAATGGATGGATAACTTATATATATAAAAGTATTTGGCAAATAAATAAGTTGATTAAAATATTTAAAAGAGGATCAAAAAATAGCAAGTAAATTGTTATTATATTAATTCTATTATAATCTATCAAATAATAAAAATGATTTAATTAAATTTATTAGATATTTTTAGATGATTACAAAAGGGAAAGATTACAATAGCAATCGAATAAATATCAATATTAAGGATCATGATGAATTAGAGGTTTGCAAACGGGACCTGGAACCCGGAAACCCTAACCCGGGCCGGCAAATTTTCTTCAAAATTCACCCGGGCTGGGTCCGGGCCGGCACATGAATTTTCGTTAAACCCGGATTTTAGTAATTCTGGCCAAAATCGTCTTAATTCCGGCCGAAATTAAACTAGCCAAAATTAAGTTGGCCAATTTTTTTGTTTTTACAACAAAATGATATAATAAAAGTCCGGGCTTGATCGTAATTCTGGACAAACGCATGATGGCAAGATGCGTTTCCTCTTATCTAATAACTTTTTATTATACATTTAAAGGTTTAAAATTAGACTAAAATGTATAATATTTTATTATATCAACAATTTTGAAAAATTTACATTATAATCTCCTATAACTCCTATATCATCTTTCAATTTCATTAGCTTGATCAAAATATAACTAAAATTCAAACCTTGTATCAGTCCAGACTGAAGAAGGAGGAGGACATCCGATTTACCACCAATTTTTCTACTAATAATTTTACGATTAGATAATCATAATCTCGTAACGACTTGTAAGGAATTTTCTTGAGAAAATGGTTGAAAATATTTATTGATAAAAATGACGGTGATATACAACATCTTGTATTAGGGTGGTACACAGACAAATTAACCAAAACTATTCATGTTACTAAATTTAAAATTTTTAGATTATTGTTTTTTTAAAAAAAATTAATTTATTTTTTAAGCAAGATGATTAATTTAATGTAAAATTAAATTATTATTGACCGAATAAATTTCAAATAATATATTTGCATTTTTTTTCCCGCTTATCATCGATGAGATTTTCCCGGGTTAAACTTTTAGCCCTAAGTTCCTTTAAATCAGAATAATTGCAACCGATTCAGTAAATGGGACACTTGATAATCTTAACTTAGGTAGTTGTCATATTTGGATAAGTTTTGAGATTCTACTTGTCGTTAGTGAAACTTGGTCGCTTTACGTGATTGAACTTTTCTTTCCAAATTTTTATGACAAGTTTATAAACGGTTTGAGAACAAAATTACGTTTAAAATTTACTTTTAAATAAATGAAATAATGTATTTACCGCACCTGCGTTACAAATTTATATGTTTATCATTTGCCATTTTAGGGGGTGCGGCGTATAAACTAAAGATCGACATAAATAATTTACAAAAAAGGAAGGATGCTTTGTAACGCATGGTGCGGTAAATAAATTCACTCTAAATAAATTTATCAAATTATTTTTAAATTTTTGTACTAATAGCAAACGTAACTATTTTGAGCTAATTCTTGAACAGTTTCCAACAAAAAGAAAGTTGAAAAATGAACATAATATTTAGAAGAATCTTTTAAAGTTCCGAGTTTTATTTCATAACAAATTATCATTAAAATTAACAAAAAGTCTATCTAATTAATTTATAGATTAATATCATAGTAAAAATTCGACCATAATAAAAATAAATGTTGCTGACATAAGTTTTGATTAATTAGTCTGTGTACCATTGTACCACCCTAATCTTGTACGTATATGTCCGTTGTTTGTGCATTTTGTACACCTGCATGTTTTCTATATTGATCGTTTAGGTTTGTACTATGACATAATTGTTTGTTACCATAATATAAAAGTACTTTAATATTAAAAAATGTAATTCCATAAAAAGTTTAAAACTAATAATTAATATCGCCATTGTATTACATAATAATGCCAGACAAAGTGACTCTATTTTTAGTTCCTCATTGAGGATTTATTTATCATTTAAGATTTTTTAAGACTTTTAAACTAACGAAAATTTTTAATCTCAAAAAATTTATGAATTGAAATTTAATCAAGTCAGGATAAGGTCATATTATTGCTTTGATCCAGATCGAAAGACAACCCGATATTAAAATTTTTTAAAACATATTAAACTTCCGTTAAACAAATTTATCAGATTTATTAAATTTATCAGTAATATAATACTAATGTTCCAACTTGTTAAGCAATAAGTTTCAGGCGAACTATTCAAAACATTAACCCGCCTTACTCTAATAAAAGAAGTAAATTAAGACTACTGGTAGACTTCGCAGAAATCTGAGAAATGGCGATACCTGAAACGGATGTCAGAATTATTATTACACGTGATGATTCGGATTTTGAACACAATGTATAACATTAGATATCTGTACTTTAAGAATTTCTTCATTAAGAAAATCAATTTTTCGTAATAGTTACAAGTTAACGAATAAATACTATTTTGAAATTTTAATCACCTATATATGTAATGGAACCATCCGTTCCATTAGTAAAATTTGTCAAAAATCTGTTATATCGAGAAAAAAAAATCAAGAAATTTTTTTTTCTTTTTAAGGGATTCCGATATGTCGAGGGTAAATTAATTATACGTTATTATGATAATTCACTGTGTAATAATACTATTATGATTATAAGGAATCTTTTGAATTAATTGACATCTATAAAATACCAGTTCATTAGCTTCTTGATGATTTTCAATAAAGGGAGAAATTAAAAAAAAAAAGAATTAACGGTAATTTATTTAATGATAAGCTCTTTTTTTTTCTTTTGTACTGTACAATCTGTACCAATGATCTACATGCATATCATAAATTTAGGTGTACAATGTTGCTTTATTTACTGTAACATTTCACTTTGATTACACATTACTATTTAATATGTAATACAACTTCAGAGTCAAAACGCCAGTTTCAACCTTTTCTTTTCTTTTTATTTTTAATAAATTATATTTATAAAAAATTTTAAAGCCTAACAACATATTTCATTATGTCATATAGTAAAAATAAATTAATTAATAATGCAATTAATAGATCATATGCATTAACAGATTTCAATATTCATAATGATATACATAAACAATATGAATTCCGAAAACAAACAATTCTTGATGATGAATTACTTACGGAAAATGAAAAATCTGAAGCAATAAGAATACTAACTAAAATCTATGATTATAACAAACTTCTTTTTAATGAAGGAACAAAAAGAATTTGTGAAAATTGTAACCATGAATGTTTAGCTACAACATATTGTGAAATTTGTGTTCAAAATTATTTAAAAGAAAATTTTTCAAATTGGACATCTGGAAATGTTATTATTGATAATTTAATACAAGAATGCCAAATGAAAGCAATTGCTCCAGATTTAATACCAGAATGGATTCCATATGATAGTTTTAAAAATATTAAATATC